GACTTAAACAGCTTTTGGTAAGCTGTTAATTTCAGCAGCATGAAATTACGATAGGACGTAGAAAAAGAAGCAGGAGTCCAAATATTTCTTTATTTTTAAATCAATACATCTACAAAAGGCAACGGCAATATAATTCTATTGTCCAAACAGGATTCTCTCTCTCCCAATCACAAGGTGGTGAAAAAGAGATTGGGGGAACTTTTTGCTATTTGGTTTTGGTCAAAGTTGAGACGAAAGTAGACGATAGAACATGGTTAAATAGCAAGAAAGGAGGTAAAAGGAGAACATTTTAGAAAAGAAATTTGTCCGTCGCTGTCCAGTTTCGAACCCGGGACCAATTGAATGAGAGGCGTACACTGTAACCTCTTCACCACGGAAGCTCCCTGTCCAGACATTGAACAAATAATTTTCAGCGATGTAAAAAAAAAATAAAACCCAACAACTACACGTGATACTGAAGGGTTCGGGTATTTTGAAAGGAATAAGGATTTAACTATAAAGCGAGAGCTGAAAAGCTCATATCATATTAAAACTAAACTTAATTATAAAAGTATCATCATTTGCTAATGAAAAAAAAATCGAATTTAATGTTACATTGTAAAATGGTTAATGTTCTCGACATTCAAGAGCATACGAGCTCACTATAAGCAAAAATGTACCAGATTTTTTTTACAAATCCGCAAGGTCTCGCTACCTGGCCAGCAGTTTGGTCAGACCTCTCTAAAAAGTTTTATCATAATGAAAATTTGGTATAGCTTACTCTACACATAAAAATTAATATTTCCTGTTTGCATAGTCCATATGAGCAAGAACCAACGTAAGTCTTGTGAATATAAACGCCTCCACGTTCACCAATTAATACGAACAGGAAAGCAGCTTTACCGAACGTGATTTTCTCTGCAAACGGCAAATAGCGTTAATACACCTAATGGCCACAGTTTAAGCGCAAAATAAAAGTGGGTAAAGAAGGAGAATTCTACGGCGCTGGACTGCAATCAAACAGAAGACAACGGCCGCTGGGCTCAAGACCCAGACTGCAGTGATTGGGCCAATTACCGATCATTGAGATCGATTGATTCCTGTCCTGGCGTTGAGCTATTCCGGGTGGAAATTGATGGGGTCGGGTGGACAGCAAGGAAAGAGGAGAAAACATTGCGTGGGTGTGCCGAGGAAGAAAGGGGATATTTCCTTAGCTTAGGACATAGCTGGGCAGGGTCAGACCATCAGGGAGACAGGTCGCGACCCTTTGTTGCTGACATGACCAGAAAACTGGCCATCAGACACAGCATGTTCGATTGAGAAGCGCATAGAGCTTGCTGTTGAGCGGAGACTTGCGCTATACAAATGCTATCTATTGTTATTATTATTAAATATTTTACGGAGAGAAAACTATTTTCCTAAACAAAAATGACATTTAAAATCAATAGACTAGATACCTGAATTAAAATTTCTGTTGAAGTAAAATCTTTCTGTACGGGTCTTGCTCCCTAATGTACATAACATATTATTTCAAAGGTACGCCCCACGCTTTGGGGATTTGTGTATATTTCAAGCTAAGCCTGAGCTCCAGTTATTCAGTTGATGCAAAACAGAACTGAACAAAAACCAAAGCTTGACCTACAGATTCTATTCCAACACAACACAGCTTGTAACGTATTGAAGGCACCCCACGGGTAGGTAGGGGAGTTATGTCCCTCGGGTAGAAAGGGGGGCTGCTATGACCCCTGTTGGTGGAATAGTGGAATATTTACATTTTCAAGCCCGGGTGCAAATGTTGTAGACGTTTGTAAATCTCTAGGTCATAATATAAATATGTCATGCCAAGATTTGGTTCACTATCAAGTACCCGGAAATAGCGGGTCACAAGAGTGTGACAAACATACAAAAGAAGTAGAGGTAAATGACGATAAAAAGGATTAGGATAGAAAAATCAGTAGTTCCCTGTTGCAGTTCAGGTACAGTTATGAGCGTGATATTAATGAATCAGCCCATTTACAAGTGCAATTCTTCTGTGCATAAAAACTCGAGATGTTAATGCCCCCCCCCCCCTTTGGGAATGGTAATTTTTTTTTTGGTCAGTAGGACCGCCCCGGAGAGTAGAACGAGGTACAGGCCTGGTCATACAAATATAACTTAATAGACAGATAACATATAATTTTTTAAAATAAAGGTGGAACAAATAATGATAATTTTGCCCTCTTACAATATTCAAACTCAGCAAATTTCGAGGTAATTTAACACTGTCGTTCCATCTAATCTCCTTAGATGATGAACTGTACACACCGTCTCCGGCATGGCTAACGCCTAAATTGATTGGGGCTCGCTAGAAAAACGTAATAAGACATTTCCGGGGGTTCTTTTCGAAGGTCATGCTAACGCTGTGTTGGAAAAATCAATAAGGACGAACCTACAACGTGTTTTCTCGGGATATCTCTCTCTCTCTCAGTAAATTCTGGATTACAGGTCCCCTGCCTCTCATCATTAGAACCCGACAAAAGTCTGGATTGTTGCTTGGATAAACATTTTGATAGGGGAGTTTGTGTGTATGCGTGCGTGTATATTTGAATGTATGGCTGTGTGTGTGCGTGCGTGCGTGTGTGTGCGTGTGTGTGTGTGTGTGTGTGTGTGTGTGTGT